AGACACAGAGAGAGAGAGAGACACAGAGAGAGAGAGAGAGAGAGAGAATTCACTAATTAAACTTGTCCTGTTTAGGCAGAGGTGATGTCTGTGGGGAGGGCTGCGTGCATGCTCTGGTATATTCATGCTGCAGCTCAGTCCAGCTAAGAAAGCTTTCATTAGCTAACAAGCGTCTCTCTTCTGCTGAGCGTATTGGGCTCATTATGAAATATTAGAAACAGCAGAATGGGAGAGTGGTGGGTGTGGGAGGGGATGGTGAACGGAGCGTGTGGTGTAATTATTGTCCTATTGATCAGACCTGGCACAAATGGCGGCTGCAAATTCTGGACAGTTGTCTAGGAATTATTTGGTGTCAGTCAGGTAAGATGTCTGTTAGGCAGTGTTATTCTAAATTGACTATAAATTGCTTTTCTCAGATTGTCTGAACATTCAGAACTAATCAACCTGTTTCCCTCTGCCCCTGCCCCCTTCCCCTCCCCTGTTATTAACCTGCACACGCACACACGCACACACACACTTTTGCTTTCCACCTGTTCATTTATCCTTGTCCGTCAGTGTGAGGAGTGTGGAGCGTTCACAGTCTGAGCTCCGTGCAGAGCTGTCCCAGCAGCGCAGCAAGACTCTGGAGGAACAGAAGAAGAGGGAGGCACAGGACAGTCTTGTACGACGACTACAGAAGAGGGTGCTGTTATTAACCAAGGTGCCCGACAGTCGACAACACACACAAAAACAAACCCATAATTACAGACGCATTAGCAGTTATTCAGAACCTCAGGACAAGATCTTTTCAACGTCACCCAGTGCCAGAATTTTCCTTTAGATGCTCAGGGAACGCAGCAGGCATTTGAATCTCAAGGCCAGCACAGAATTCCTAATCTGCCCTTCTACCCCTCTCTTCCTCTCATTGGTCAAAGAATGTCATTTGACTCCTCAATCTGTGCGACTTGCTTCCCCCTGCTCTGCAGTTCCTTACTAGACCTCCCTGTGATATTGATTTCTCAGTTTGTGTAATTCCCTAGGTCAACATGCTCAGTCTCTTACTACACAAATCTCACACACACACACACA